AGAGAGAGAGAGAGAGAGAGAGAGAGAGAGAGAGAGAGGTTGCACTGGATATTTCACGAGGATTTTGAAACTTCAATCCCCCCACCCAGTGACACAGCTCCAACAAGGCCATACCTTCTAAACCTTCCCAAGTAGTTCCAAAAACTGGGGACCAAGTATTCAAATATATGAGTCTATGGGGGCCATTCTCCTTTAAATCACCACAGTCTCTCTTTCTCTCTCTCTCTCTCTCTCTCTCTCTCTCTCTCTCTCTCTCTCTCTCTCTCTTCTCTCTCTCTTGATTTTATCTATGTTTATTGATTTATTTTACTAGGGCTCAAACCCAGGGCTTCCCATACACTAGGAAACTAATCATGCTACCTTTAAGATGATTTTAGGCCATTCACATAGCTTTCTAAAGAGTGGGCCCTCCACCAAATTTCCTCAGGAACTCAACAACCCTCAACAGTGAGGGAAGTAGTCTGACTGCCTCCATACCTTTGATTGATCTGTCTGTTACTCAGGGTCTGGACACAGACACAGGCCTATAGGTCTCTGTCAGTGCTCATTCTTCTGTTGCTGTAAAGTTTGCCCTTGCAAGTCAGTGTCAGTGGAATGTGAGAGAGGGACAGGGCACCAGGTCACACAATGCACCCAGAATACATCTGTAGTTCTGATGGGTGCAGACAGCTCCACAATGTCTAAATATGTAAATGGACTTGGGCTGTTTGGAAACAGTCTTCCCCACTTTCTATTCAGACCAAGTAGAATGAAGTTCTCTTTATTCTGATGTAGATTCATTTTTCCAATAATCTTCACTTGGAGAGGGACTAGCATTAGAACTAAATCAGAACTAAAACCACTTATTTGTTTATTTGTTTGTTTGTTTGTTTTTGTTTCAATTTTTGATTAATTAAATTTATTCATTTATTTTACATCTCCACCAAAGTTTCCTCTCTCTCCTTCCCCAATTCCCTCCCCCCAACTTGCCCCAACCTCCTCTGTTGTAGAATATTATTTTGAGTGTGTTACTTTTGTTTATGTTGCATTTCTTTAACTCTGTGAAGCTGTGTTACTGTGCCTGTCTAAAACACCTGATGGTCTAATAAAGAGCTGAACAGCCAATAGTGAGACAGGAGAGAGAAATATGTGGGGCTGGCAGGCAGAGAGTGCTGGGAATGTTTTTCTGTATGCTGTGGTTGTGTTGCTCTGATTGATTGATAAATAAAATGCTGATTGGCCAGTAGCCAGGCAGGAAGTATAGAATAGGCAGGATAAACAGAGAGGAGAATTCTGGGAAGTGGAAGGTGGAGTTAGGAGACGCTGCCAGTGGCTGCCAGGAGAAATAAGATGTAAAGTACTGGTAAGCTACAAGCCACATGGCAACTTATAGATTAATAGAAATGGGTTAATTTAAGATATAAGAACTAGTTAGAAATAAGCCTGCCACAGCCATACAGTTTATAAGTAATATAAGTCTCTATGTGTTTACTTGGGTCTGAGTGGCAGCAGGCCCCAGTGGGACTGGAAAAATCTCCAGCTACA